ACACACACACACACACACACACACAGACACACACAGACACACACACACACACACACACGTTGCCCGACCCTTGCGGCTGGCTCCCCCCTTTGGATTCCTCCATTTCTGGCCCTGCCACTCCCCGCGGGGACCGGACGGGCGCCGGCGCATCACCCGCACACGCGGCGCCCAGGTGGCGGAGAATGCACGCCATCGCCTGGCGCATGCACCGGGGCCGGTGCGCGTCAGAGCGTTGGGCGCACCCAGGCGATGGCCTGATGCTGGGCCCCCTCGGTGGTACGGTTGGCGGGGGGGGGGGGGCCAGGCGGTGCCTGCTCTCCGGCCCGCATCCCCGCCAGGACCAATCAGCTGGTTTTCCCGGCTCCGGCGCATGCCCGAACACACGGGCCCCTTAAAAACGGCCAGGTAAACCACACCCACCCACGCACCCTCACATACCCTGCTGGTGTCCAGGCTCCCGGCCTGGGGGCGGCTAGGGCGCACTGTTGCTGTGAACGCCCCCGGGGCTCCCTCCCCCCATGCAGGGCCAGCCCCGGCAGCTCCTGGTTGCCCCGCCCTCGCGCAGAGGCATGTTGCTCAAGCCGGGTGTATGCCGCGCGACCCTGGGGCCGTGGTCCTCCTAGCTCCCCTCCGGAAAGCGTGTGTATGCCGCGCGCATCGCGCCGCGTCTTCCACACGGGCGGCGCATGCGAGGTCGGTGCCCGCGCGGCGGCCTCGAGGGGCCCCCCCCCGTCGGCAGGAGTCCCTGGTCGGAGACGGCCCGCGAGGGCGGGGGAGGATGCATCGACGCTTTCCCCGCCCGTGTGCCCGGACACGACCGACACGCAGGAACACCCCCACCATGGTAAACCCTGCCACGGCCCTCGGAGCCGGCCGGGGACGCGCCGACATCGATCGGACGGAGCTGCCTCGGCCGACAGGGGCCGGCACGGGTCCGAGCCCGGTCGACCCCTTCTCTTCGCGCCGACACGCGTGTGGCTGGCCCCGACGACAGACGGCCTGGCCGGGCCGGGCCGAGCCGCGGCACGGTGCCCCCTTGCTGCCCCTTTTTCAGGGAAGGCCGGAGGGCCGGCTTCTTCGGCATGCGGTGGGCGGCCGAAAAAAATCGGCCTCCACACATGCGTCCCCCTGCCGGAAATTTTTGGCAGGGTTCCTTCTTCAGCGAGAATATATGGCCTTATGGAACCCTGATTTCCATGAATCCGGGGGCGTAGCTCAAATGGTAGAGCGGCCGCTTAGCATGCGGCAGGCAGGGGGATCGATACCCTCCGCCTCCATTTATTTTTTAACTTGGCTCCGATCAGCCTCGGGGAGGGGGCGCGGCAACACTTCCTTCCCATCTCCCAACGTGGCCGATCAAAAATCCGATGATGCGGAGGGGCTGCCTGCCAAGTGGGCTCCACGCGCAGTGGCACTTTGCTTCCGATGGTTTGAGCATGTCCCCCCCCCCCCAGATAATTTGATATATATGAGAGCCAGAGGCACCCCCCCTCCTCCCCCCGGAGACCCATTCTGGGCAGAAATCATCCGTCCCCCTCTCACCCCCCCCCCTCCCTTTTTGGCTCTCCCCAACCCATCTACTTTGCCTCCTCCACATCCGGCTGCTGGTTCGTGCGTCCCGAAAGGAGCCCTGCCTGCCGGAGCCCAGCTTCCTTGCCCGTTCCGTTCCCCTGGCCCATCGTCGAGTGTGGGCCACACTTTTCCGGGCGTCCCCCCCCCCTCCTCGATAAAGGCTCGCCCTCCAGCTCATGCAATCCATGTTGGCGGCTGGCAGGCTGGCCCTGCGCCGGATGGCGATGCCGCCGGGCCGGAGCCTCTCACAAGTCGCATCCTCATCTCGTGGGACCCTCTCGGCCGGGGAGCGTCTCTGTCGTGACATCGAGAACGGAGTGGTCCCCTTGCCACGGGGCTTCGACACGGTGACGGACTTTCACTTTTTTTTGCGCCTGGCCGGGGCGCGGTCACCTCCGGACACCGACGAAAGCATCTTGGCCAGTGAGGTCCGGCGAACTGGCCGACTGATTGGGATGGACGAGGTTTCGACCAGGATGCTGCTGGAGAAGTTTGGCGAGGCGTTTGGAATTCCCCCCCCCGATCCCTCGTCGGAGGGTGTATTCCATGAGCCCCGGTCAAGGGATTCGGTTTTCAAGGACGTGATGATGCTGTTCGGGCGCGATCCGCCGGTTCCTGCATCCACCATCTCGCGCTTGACAGGCGTGGCCCTTGCCAGGACGAAATACCTGCTGCATGCTCGCTCACCCTTGAAGCCTTTGACATCCCGAAGCCAGCCAAGCATCAGTCGGCTGCGGGATTTGTGTTTCATTTGGCCGCCGATCTTGTTGCACCAAGCGGCACGACTGCTATCGTCCTCCGAAGAACAAATCACTCAGACCATCGTGCGACACCTGCCCGAGTGCCCTTACCTCTTGTCCCAGCCCCTGTCCCCCCGGGAGGAGGAACACATGCGAGCGAAAATGAGAGCCGCACTGGACATCGACCCGCTGCCGGAGCCGAGGAGCCTTTGCGTGCAATTGGGGATGTTCTGGCGGACATTCCACATCCATGGGCCGAACATCTGCCCGGAGTATGTCATCCGGTTGCGGGGGGAATTGCCCGCGCAGCAGGTTGCGCGGATGCGCGAACTGCTGGCCATGCAGACATTGACCATCTTTGAAATGGCCTCCGGTTTGGGGATCCGGCCAAACGACCTCCGGTGGTACATCAAGTACTATGAGCCGATGGTGGAGCTGCCGCCGTCCAACCAGCTGCCGGTCCGGGCCTTGGCCCCGGTCGGCGGCCGGGGCAAACTCACTCGTCAGCAGTATGCCGAAGCTCGGCTGCCGGTGGGTTCGCCGATTCTCAAGGAATTCGAGCCTGGAGGGATGCTGGCCGAGCCGGCGGATTGGCAAGCAGCCGCTCCCTTGCCTGCGGCGGCTCATGTGAAGGTGCAGCCTCCTCCGCACGACCTGGTGTGGGTCTCATTCATGGGTTTGGCCATGAGACCGCCGCTGATGAAACGCGAAATGTGCACTCAATTGGGGACAACGTGGCGGGTAGTCGACAAGTACACGGAGGCCGCACCGCCGGACCTTTTCCAACCATATCCCGAGATGTTGAATCTCTCGGTGACGGAAGTTCGCCGCTTGCGGGCGTTCGGCCGCGAGGTGCACCCGGAGGGCGGGCGCATGCGCTTTACAGTGCGGGACTTGGCCCGAAAGATGGCCATCCCCGAGGACTTGGTGTATTCGATGCTTCATCGCTATTGTCCGGAGTACTTCTTCTTGGCTCTTCCGCCCGAGGCACGATCCGGCCTTGGGGGGATGTATGTGCCGGAGGAGAAGTTGGATGCCCTTTTGGCGGCGTACAGCCACAATCCGAAAGAGATCCCCCAGAAGCTGGCCGCGGATTTGGGCTGTACCCTGCCGCAGGTGGTGAACTCCCTTCGAGCCCATGTCACCGGGCAGGGCAAGCGGTACATGGCGCCCATGTTTGCTCGGCACGGGGCCAATCGTGCCTTTGAGATTGAGCAGATGCTGGCAGCACATCCGGACAAAGCCATCAGCACTGTGGGCCTCCGCTGTGGGTTGAATTTGCGGGTCATGCGGTCTGCCTATCCATATTTGCTCGAGCAATAGACGGCCCTGATGGGCAAAGATATTTATGTGGAATTTCGGCATCAACCCAAGCGGCTGTGATTTCCGCCGTGGAGGTCTTCCAAAAGCAAAGCCAATTTGGGATCGTCCTGATCGCCCTCCGGTGTAATGTGGTATCACGTGCCATCTAGGAACTTGTGGCAGGGTTCACACGGGTTAAGCCTGAGTCAAGTGAGTGAGGCTTGACGAAGGGTACCAGTGTGATCTGCCACCTGGT